GTCCTACATTTACTATTTTATCTATTTCATCTGTCTCCCCCATCTAAATTATAAACAATGCCGAGCATGAAACAGATGCTCAGTAATATTTGTTTAATGGTTGAATAAATAAGGAAATAAGGAAAATATCTAGGTGGGAAAAATAGCTTTATTAGCTAAGGTTATCTTTTGTACTAGACAAATAACTAAAATGGCCTTATTAGCTAAGATTATCTTTTGTACTAGACAAATAACTATAAAAATCAAAGTCATTTGGAACTTATTAATTTTCTATAGGTTAACGTCTAAATTTTGGCTCTCCTTAGTAGTAAACAGTAAGTCAACCAAAAGTATGTTCTCTTGCGAGGGGAGTTGGCAAATTTTCTTAAAGAACCAGATAGTAAATATTTTAGACTTTACTGGTCTTAAGATAACTCTGTTGTAGCTACTTAACTCTGCCATTAGAGCAGAATCAGCCATAAACAATACATAAATAAATGAGTGTGACTATGTTCCAATGAAACTTTATTTACAATAATAGGTAGCACCTGGAGTTGGCCGTTGGGCCATTGTTAGCTACCCCTGGTTTGATGAATCAGTAGTGATAACCCTTCTTTCATTCCTAACGTTAATTTGTGACTACTCTCTTTTTTTCTGTCATCAGTCTAACTAGAGCTTTATCAGATTTTATTGATCCTTGAACAACCAGATTTTGGTTTCATTGATTTTTCTGTATTGTTTTTTGGTTTGTTTTCTGTTTCATTGGTTACTTTTATCTTTATCTTTTCCTTTCTCTGCTTATTTTGGATATAATTTACTCTTCTTTTTCTGTCCTTTATGATAAAAACATAGATCATTGTGGTTTTTTTTTTCCTGTTAAAGTTTGGCCTTTATTTTTCCATATCTTTTTGAATGCATATATGTGAAACAAAAATGTTTCATTGTAAAGAACATAATTAACACCATATTATATAGATTTTCTGCAACTTGCTTTTTTAACTTATCAAGGTATCATGGGGATATTTCAATGGGTACATACAGAACTCTACCTCATTGTTTTCACTTACTATATTGTATTCTGTAGTCACTATTTACATATCGATAGACATTTAGGGTCACCAGTACAAACTGTACTATAATAAAAGCCTCACGAATGAGAGGTTCTCCAGGATAGAGGTACACAGACTATTTTTGTTAGATGTGTGATTTATTGAATGTCTTTGATGCTCAGAAGAAATGAATACTTCTATATGATTTACCACAATATATTTCATTGCTCTTTTTTTGTTAGGAATTTTCTTATGCTGTTTAAGGGCTGAACTTTGGGGAAAAGTATTTCCACATTAATTATATTTATAAGGCTTTTCTCCAGTATGGATTCTCTGATGTCCAGTAAGAATTGAGCTCTTCATATAGGCTTTGCTGCAATCAATAATACATCAATAGGGTTTATTTCCACTATGAGTTTTCTGATGTCCAGCAGCGGATGTGTACCTGAAAGATTGTCCACATTTATTGTAGTGACAGGGTTTCTCTCCTGTATGCATTCTTTGATGATTAATAAGATTTGAGCTCTTCTAAAGGCTTTTCCACATTCATCACACAAGTATGATTTCTCATCAGTATGTGTTTTCTTATATTCCAACACAATTGAATTATTCCTGAAAGCTTTCTTCCCACATTTATTACCTTCAAACAACCTTTCTCCACTATATATTCTCTTATGATGAGTAAATTCTGTCTTCTAGGCAGAAGACTTCCTCAGTCTTTACATTTGTAAGGGTTTTTGATTGGTATGAATTCTCTGATGACTTAAAAGTATTGATTTCTTTCTGAAAGCTTTTCCACATTCATTGCATTTATAAGGTTTCTCTCTAGAATGAATTCTCTAATGATTGATAATTATTGACTACTTGAAGAGTTTCACACATTCAGTATATCTGTAAGTTTGCTTTCTTAGTGAATTTTATGATGATTTAAAAGCAATGAGATGTGCATAATGGCTATCACACATTCTTAATGTTTATGGGATTTCTCAACAGTGTATCTCTGGTGTCTAATAAAGGAGGAGTTATATTTGAAGACTTTCCTACATTATAGTACTTCTTCCCTGTGGAGCTTGTGCCCTCCCAACCCAGGCCTATACCAATCATGACACTTTTTGTTTGCTCTTCCAGAGCAGATCCTTCAGAAGTATTTTCCTTTAGGGCTGACATCTTTGTTTCAAACCACCAGTACACCTGGACTGCACGGGTACCTGGTGAAACTTCTCACACGTCCATTCAGGGCTCTGCCCCTTGTTCCAGTCGGATTATTAATTTTGGCTTGAAAGAGAGAGAAAAACCCCATAGACACCAGATTCCTGTAGTTTTCCAGCATCACATCCCTGTACATGTCCACTGAATGGCATCCAGGTGTCTTCATTCAATCTGGGTAAAGGCCACAGCCACATCCCCAAGTGTCAGTGATCCCTGGATCTAGGCTCTCGGTCGTCTTGGAGTCCTCTGTCTTCTGAAGTGTTCTTCCAGGAAAAGGCAGAGGATCCTGCTTCAGCCAACAATTTTGGAGGCTAGAAGTCTAAAATCAAGGTGTTGACAGGGCTGGTTCCTTCTGAGACTCTGGGTAGAATCTTTCTTTGACTTTTCCTAGCTTCTGGTGGTCGCTGGCAATCCTTGACATTCCTTGCAGTTGTATCACTTCAATCTCTTCCTCTGTCGTCACATGGCATTCTCCCTATGTGTCTTTCTAGATCATGGGTTTTTGACTTTCCTTCTTTTCTTTTTTTGAGGGGGTAGGTAATTTGGTTTATTCATTCATTCATTCATTTTTTTTAGAGGAGGTACTGGGGATTGAACCCAGGACTTTGTGCATACTAAGCATGTGCTCTACCACTTGAGCTATACCCTCCCCCTCCTTTTCGAAAAGAAGCATTTAAAGCTATAAATGTCCCTCTAAACATTGCTTTAACAGCATCCCACAAATTTGAATATGTTGTGTTTTCATTTTCATTCAGTTCAAAATATTTTCTAATCTCTCATGCAGTTTCAACCTACACTTGGCATACATTAGTATTCGGTCAAAGGCTGAAGGGAACCACTATCCAGATGTCTTTCTTAGTGCTGCTTCCTCCTTTTTGGTAGTTTGTTCCAAATTCTAGCTACCACAGTCGCCCTGAACTCTGTTTCCTCAACTTACCAAGACCACCCTGTTCTGCTTGGGTTCTTCCCTGTTCCAGTCTGGAGCTTGCCTGTAAACGGAAAGCCAAGTTTGTCATGGGGTTCAGCCTTGTTTGTTTCCTTCCTCTCTGGGATCACAGTACCAGACTACCTGTTGTTCAGTGTCTAATAACAGTTGTTAGGTATATTTTGACTAGTTCTCTAGTTGCTCATGGTGGGAAAGCAAGTCCTATGGCAATTCCTCCTTCAAGGGCAGAAGTAGAGGTCATGGTACGTTAAAAATAGTAAACAGAGTAGTGGCTTACAGAAAAGTATGTTATTTTCATCTTTGTGGATCTCTTCACTATGACTTTCTGAGAAGAATGTTGGAGAGTTATTATAAAGGTAGCTGACCGTAGTTACTGATGTAACAATTTATTGATTTCAACAAAGTCTGTACACTCAGCTGGTACCAAGATTCCTTCCATTGGTTACTGTGTGGAAGGTAGATGAGGAAACAGAGGGGCATTTCTGTAGCTCTTGGTACCTTCATTTTTTCCCCATGGTTTCTATTTCTTCATCTTTTTTTAAGGATGTTCCATAATCCACAAGCCTGCCGGTTTCCCTTTTATCTCTCAGTTGACTGTGTCCACATTTAGTAATTATTTCCTGGGTGTCAGGTTGGCTTTGACTGATTATCTGGTTGTTGCTTTAGTCAGCCATATGTGTATGTGCAGATATGATTATGTATCTCTTCAGTGGTTTGATTCTACTACATAGTTTCTATGTGTAATTCTAAAATGTATTTTATGTTATACCCCAGGGCTAGGGTAAGGCTATGAAATTTAAGGAGACACTCTCAAGGTTGGGTAAACCAGTCCTGCACTTGCATGACTCTGAGAGTGAGTGCTTCCGTAAAGTTTGTGCCCAAGGCCCCTCTCGCCTCACCCGGGTTCTGGCCCTGTATAACCCTGACCACAGTTGGTTACAAACACCTGTATGACTAAGACCTGGAAATGAACTCTGTATAAAAACTTTAATTTAGAACATGCTTTGACTTTACTTCATCTAAGAAAACAGAACTGAGGTAATATTTCAGAAAAATCAGTGCCATGCCTGAAAAATTCAGCAGCTCAAAAGTTTATACATAAGCAACATTAGCCAGAATTTTGAACCATGTTATCTGTGTTAACCACAGTTGATCACTGTTGTACTTGTGTTCCTTTATTTCTTTATCATCGTGTGGCTTGTCATTAGGAAGTTCATTCTAAAATACCTCTCATGATTAAAATTTTTGGTAAGCTTGACTACTGCTTTGGCTGATGCTGTGATGTGCAAAACCACCTGACTCTGACAAACCATTGATTAGAAAATGGATGAATGTATTACCTGCAAGAGGTCATGAGTACTCAGTTTGTGTTGCTGCCAGTTCAGTGGGGGCAATCTTCCATCTTCTTCAGCTACCTGCCCTTCTGGTCCCATAGTCTTCATACTGTCCCTGAGAAATGCCTTGGAGGTGAGTGCAACGTCATGGGGTGGGACTTTGCCCCTGTCCCTCAGTGCACTTCCTCCAGAAGAGTTCTTTTGTTTTGTTTTTTCTGTTTCATGAGCTGGAGTTCTGTGTAAAAGGTCTACATGGAAGGGGCTCATTGAGAAAGAGAGCCAGCAAGGACTATAGGAGTAGTGCTTCTACAAACTAAAATATCCCGAGCCAAAGAACACTCTTTTGCTTCTTCCGTTCCACTTACTAGAAAGCTTAAAAACGAGTCTTCTAAATAGCCTCCAATGTTAGTATTTAGGATTCTTTACAGAGCTGTAGTCTCTGTTTTTATTTCATCTTAAAATGTTTTCATTCTTTGTTTTTAGATGCCAAGGAGAGCAGGTGCCAGCAGGCGAAGACACAATTTGGAGTTGGCCTGAGATCTGGGGGAGAAAATCACCTCCAGCTTCTTGAAGGAACCCCCTCTCTCCAGTCATGTTGGGCTACCTGCTGCCAGGACACTGCCTGCCATGCCTTTTGGTGGTTAGAAGGGATGTGCATCCAGGCAGACTGCAGCAGGCCCCAGAGCTGCCGGGCTTTTAGGACAGACTCTTCCAATTCCATGCTGGTGTTTTTAAAAAAATTCCAAATTGCAGATGGTTTGGGCTTTCCACTTGACGATGATATTCCACATACTCTGGGGTTAGGTTGGAGCAGGGCATCTTGGAGGAGGCAGAGCCCACCCAGAGCTCCACTCAGATCCACTGTGTCTTCCAGTGACCCGCAGAGCTTACTCAGGAAGCTTTGGAAGAGAGAGAGTCCCAGTGAAAAAGTGGCTACAGTGACACAACCTTCTAAAATGAATGACTCCAAGGAACTAGGCGATCTGAACACCACTGGCTTAGCAGAGGTAAGCATGTTATGAATGAGGAGCATGGAAACTGTTTAATCTGCTTTTCTCTTTGGTGCACATTAGCTCTGAAGCTGGTGCTTGTGGGCAGCGCTCACAGACTGAGTGGTGTATGTATAAAGCTGCTTGGTGTCATCTTAGTGGGTGATGCCCAGATGTTCAAGGGTAATTTGACCTTAGAGATTTTCACTCTGTGCAAGTCTGACTGTTGTTTCAGTAAAAACAGAAAGCTGTTCATTATCTAGTCTAGCTGGTTCTTGGCTACAGGTAAGTGCAGTTGTGTGGGTGTTAGTCTCCATCAACGATTCTGCAGTGTTTTCTGCCAGGTTGCAAAACACTTGATTGATGTGGTTGAAGTCAGGTTCTCCTCCTCCCCCCATCTCTCGCCTTATGAGGTAGTTTCTATTCCGATCTGAAGTAACCATGCCTGGTGCCACAGATTAAGACCTGACCTGCCGGGCTGGGGAGCCGGATGTGGCCCTTAGCCAAGAGGTCTTAGGTGAGTTCTCACCAAGTCTTGTATGCCAAGGGAGATACCACCAGTAGAGTGTGTTCTGCTTATTGTATTTCTTCATTGTTGATCTTCCTGGGCAAATGATTAAAAGGAATGACTCACTCTTTTCTCATTCTCCCTTCATTGCTGTGACCTTTTTTTGTATTTGTTTTGTCCTAGTTGTCTCTGTTAAGTTGAAGCCAGAGTGGGGATGCTACCACTTGCCAGGCACTGTGTGTGCTAATCATTGTACTGTGTCATTTTGTTTAATTTTCATAGCAGTATTTCCAAGTAGGTATTATTAGCCCCATCTTACTAGTGAGGAAACTGAGGCCCAAAGAAATTAAACAATTTGATTATGCAGCTAATGAATAGCAAACCTAGAATTGGAACCCAGATTTAGTATTAAGAAAAAAAACCTTTCAATCCAATAATAGAGATGCAGGGTTAGATTTAATATTCCTGTAAACATTTATGGACACCTGTTATCAATGTTAGGTACTTTCCTAAGCACTAGAGATATAAAGGTAAAAAAGACATGATCTGTGCCCTCAAGGAGTTTATAGTTTAGTGGAGACTCAGACATGAAAATGGTTATTTACAATAGTGTATAATTATTGCATGAGTAGATTTATGTACACAATACGGTAGGAACACAAAAGAAGTGATCCTCTTGAGCAGGCAAGTGATGTGTATGTACAGGGAAGACTTTACAGAGACGTTTAATTTACTCCTTGAAGGATGCATAGGATTTCACTAGGGGGTTAAAGGTAGAAAAAACATTCTGGATCATGGTATCAATGCAGAAACGACTACAGAAAGAACTGTTGGCTTTGCAAAATGACCCACCTCCAAGAATGACTTTAAATGAAAAGAGTGTTCGAAATTCAATTATGCAGTGGATTGTAGTGGAAGGTGCACCAGCTACCTTATATGAAGGGGAAAATTTTCAACTTCTATTTGAGTTTAGTAGTCGATATCCTTTTGATTCTCCTCAGGTCACGTTTACTGGTGAAAATATTCCCATTCATCCTCATGTTTAAGCAATGGTCATATCTGTTTACCCTTCTAACAGAAGACTGGTCCCCGCACTCTTAGTCCAATCAGTTTGTCTTAGCATTATTAGCATGCTTTCCAGCTGCAAAGAAAAGGTCGGACTTTACAGAATTATTCCAGAGATGACCACCAGATAATTCTTTTTATGTTTGAACATGTGACAAGAATCCAAAGAAAACAACATGGTGGTATCATGATGATACTTGTTGATTGCACTGCTATCCTCCTCCTAGCAGAGGAGAGTCCTACTGAGGAAAGGAGTACTTTGATCATTCAGTCTTTGAACTTTAACCTTTGACTGGAAGTGACCTGTAGGCAATGAAGACTACTTCCTTTTTACTGCATTTTTACTTGTATGCATTCTGGACACATGTTGATCCCTGGTTCAGTCCAGGCAACTAACATGCTCTTATTAGTCATACAGTATTAATGCAGGTGTCAGGAAATGTCAAATATAATTCCATTTTTTATTTTTATCTTTTTAAGCTTTTGGAAAAGTTCCAGGTCCTAGTGTATTATGCAATAACAATGACTTCCTTGGCGGTTTTGGAACGTTCATTGCCGGCAATGGACATTGTAATAGGAAAAATTTTCATTAACTCCTGCCACCCAATAATTAATAATGCATGATAGGGCCTATGAAATAAAGTTATTGATTACAGTGGGATTATAAATAAAGTGAGGGATCCAACATTACTTTGAAAATCACCCCAAGTGTTTATATTTGGCTTCTGTGCACTGTGAATCTAAGGTTAACAGCATGAATTAACATGCGTCTTTAAAGGACTGTAATGAAAGATCATTGCGTATTTATTGAATTGTTTGTAGCTGCTGTCAAATTGTTTTGACATGGATGATTTTCAAGTAATATTGGCAGAGAAGTACAGTATGTTATCCCTATGTGAAAATAAATTCATTTGTTAAAAATTCTGTACAGAGACCCAGTATATGCAAAAAAGGCTCTGTCAGTCAGCAAATATTTACTGCACATTTACTATGTGCAAGGTCCTATACTAAGCTAGGCACTAGGAATATTATAGCTTATAAGATAAACATGATTCCTGCCCTAATAGAGCTTGAGTATTAAGCAACGAAAACAGACATGACTTATGATAATTAAGTAATTATAAGCTTGTTGCACGTTATGAGAGGGTAAGTGCAGAGTGCTGTAAGAGCATCTGACAGGACCTAATCGAGACTGAGACTTAGGCTACCTTAACAAGGAAAGTTTAAGCTGAGATTTCAAGTAGAAGCAGGAGTTAGGAAAAGAAACAGGCAAAGAGTAATTCAGGCAAAAGGAATAACAATTTCAAAGTTTGTTAGGTGCCCTAGAGTGTGGCAAGATTAAGAAGTTGAGAGAGACAAACAGTAGGAGAGCTAGTGGTGAATGAAGAGGCTTCAGAGGTGTGCAGAGCCTTGAGGCCTTCTTAAAACATTAGTCTTTATGCTAAGCAGGGAATGAAATGATCAGATATGTTCCTGTGTGGTGAACAGACTGGAAAAGTGCAGGAATGTACAATCAAATAGGAGCCTCTTCAGGCAAGGGAGACATTGCACTAAAGAAGGAGGTTGAAGATATGGAAAAGGGGATAAATGACAAATACTCTTTCAAACTTTAACAATCAGAATCACTTGGAGGCCTTTTTTAAAAAGATTGCTGGGCCCGAGCTCCAAAGTTTCTGATTCAGTAGGTCTCGAATGGGGCTTGAGAATTTGCATTTGTAACAAGTTCCAAGAGTGCTGATGCTGCTGGTCTGGGAACCACACTTTGAGAACTAACTGCCTCATAGGGCAGGTGGGTTAGAATCCAGAGCACAGAGCATAAGATTAGCTACTTCATTATGATAAGAGGGAAGAACTGGGTGGATATAGATGCAACTAAGGTGGATTTTTATGTTCAGTAGAAGGAAATTGTGGTGGTTCTAATCTCATTCTTGCTTTTTTCTGAAGTAGGGTAGATCACTTACTGGAAATAGAAGCAAAGGTAGATGGAGTGGGGATAGGTGGATAGTAGGCAGGATAATGAGAGGTTTGGAGAGAGTGGTAAAGGTCTGGCATGGCCATTGTGAAGGGTAGGAAATGGCAAAGTAGGTAAGAAAACAGAAAGATTGTTGGGTAGCACTGAAGATGGAGATCATAAATTTATGAGTGGCACTGATCCTTACAGTTGTGTGATTCTCCTCAGTAGCTCTCAGCAACCCTGTCAGGGAAAGCGTGATGGTTTGATTCATCCAAGATTAGAACTTTGCCAATTTTATATAGGAGGAAATTGGGACGTGGAAACTGAGGTTGTTTTCAAGAGAGTGGATGAAAGAGAGAGTATAAAAAGAAAGGAAAAGAGGCAGAGTTACAAAAGGCTGACAGAGATGCAATAGAGGCGTTTGGCATTCAGGGGTTTCGATGATAGGAAGCAGATATAGGGGCACAGGTAAATGTGAGTCCTAGAAGGACAAGAGGTAGTCATCTGAGTATGGGATATTTGAATTTAAGATTTTGGAGGTGGAGAAGTTCTGGGGATTACAGGATCTAGGATGTGGCTATGAAGATGGTTGCTGGGGTAGAGCAGAGAAGAAATTTATTGATGATAAGGAGCTCAGAGAACATGTTAAATGAGTGTACATATTGAGATAGACTTTAGTAAGGATGATGATAATGATGCTGGCAGCAATAGCTAATGTTTACTGAGTACTTAGTGTGTGTCAGGTACCATTCTGAATCCTTTACATGAATTAACCCTTTTAATCTATTCAACAAATCCTATGAATTACTATTACCATCTCTATAAATGAGGAAATGCAGAGGAAAGGTTGAGGAACGTAGCCAAGGGAACATATCTATCATATGGTAGTACCAAGACTTGAACCCAGGCGGTTTGATTCTACCCAGAGTCTGTCCTCTTAAATTCTTATTCTTGAGGCAAGGACTTGCAGTGAAGAGGAATTTTGAGAGCCAGATGTCAAAGCCGTCAGTAAAGTAGGAGGAGTAATGAGTAAGTCGGGAGGTGACAGCTATGATTAGAGTTGAAGTATAGTGCAGCAAGATAGCAAAGGAGAAGAGATTTTTACAAAGAAGATAGAAGAGTAATAATTTGCGAAGGGCATTGAAAGGGGAGCAAATAAGATACCTCCTTTAATCTTGAAGTGTAGGAGAATAAGTAGCCATCATATTGCAGAGATATGTGGGAAATAGTATCCTCAGGGGAGTGCAGGTGTACAGTTAAGAATTGGTGGTCAGGGACTACTTTATGCACATGTGACCTGTTCAGTTGTGTGTGTCCCCACACTTAGAAAGGCTCTTTTCTTGATTTAGTGCTCTGCTGTCATTGTCTTGAAATTCTTAATTTTTGAGCAAGGGACGCCACCTTTTCATTTTGTACCAGATCCTGAAAACTCTGTAGCCTTGTCCTGTGGGAAGTATAGGGACCAAAATGTGAAATGACTGAGCATATAGG